GATTCCCCGACCGTGCAGCTGATGCTCGAGGAGAACCAGGCCTTCAACTCGGAGGCCCAGGCGGAGCGCGAGAAGGAGAAGCAGGACAACTCCTACCAGAAGAAGAAGAAGCTGTGCGCGCCCCACCCCCGCGTCTTCACGGCGCTGGTGCAGGGCGCGGCGACGAAGCCCGTGGTGGACGAGCGCCTGGCGGAGGACAGGAAGGCGGCCCACGTCTTCTGGGAGACGACCGTTCGGAAGATCACGGAGCCCGAGGATCTGGCGAACACGATTCGCTACTGCAAGGCCAAGCGGATCAAGAGCAAGTCTCCAGAGGGAGACGACATGGTGAAAGTGCAGTTCCTTCTGGCGGGAGAGACTCCAGAGGCGGGTGGATTGCTGACGGCGATCAGGGCGACGCTCCGCGCCGAGGGTTGCATCAAGACCATCGGGGGAGCGCCCCGAGGGGTGCTCGTGAGAGAGGCGCAGCGGCTGCTGGACACGGTGAAGTGACTGCAGCCAGTGGTTTTTTTTTCAGCGGCTTCGATTGGAGGCTCAGCGACCGAGCACGTGCCCTCCTTCGTGCTGGCCACCTCTCAGAGGAGGCGGCCCGTCGCGTTCGAGGCTTAGCCGCTCCGCCTGCTCCTGTCCTACTTTTGCCACGCGCTATTCCTCCTCCTCCTGGCCTGGAGCCCCCTTCCGAACCTCCCCCCCCCAAATGTACTCGATTCAGAATGCCCCTGAAATGGGGCCTGCTGTTGCACTAGAAGTTAGACCTCCTGCCAACCGTGGCAGGGGGGCCAAGGGGCGTGGTAGGGGTGCTGCCAGAGGCCGTACGCGGGGTAGGGGCGGCCGCGGGCTCCTCTGCCCTGAGGGCGCTTCTGTGGTCCTCTCGCCTTGTCCCTGGGGGGAGGAGCTTGGCGCCTCGTGCTCAGTTCCTCCCTCTCCGTGTGTGCGTCGCTCAGGCAAGAGCTTCCCTGAGGGCGGTGCGGATGGTGGCAGCCGCTTGGCTGCGCGCCATTGGGTGCGCCACTGGGCCCGAGCCAGCCCCACTGGGCGCTGGCCCGCGCGCAGGCGGCACTCTCAGCCTACAGAAGTAGAACCTAGGCGCCATCCTGGCAGGCTGGATGGACGGTGCGGCGCCCCAGGGTTATTCCTATTCCTATTCCTCCTCCTCCTCCTACTCCTACTCCACCGTCTCCTGCTCCCCCTATCCATCGTCTTGCTCTTCGTCCTTCGATCCATCTCATTCAGCGTCCTTCTCGCTCCTCCACCTCCTCCTCCTCCTGTTTCTCCTCCTCCTCATCCTCCTCCTCCTCCTCCTCCTCCTCCTCCTCCACCTCCTCGCCTCCTCCTCTCCGCCCCTTCTGCTCCTCCCCCTCTTCCTCCTCCCCCTTCTGCCTCCTCCTCCTGCTCCTCCTGTCTTCTACTCCTCCTCCCCCTCTCCACTTACCTCCTTCCTCCCCCGCCTGCTTCTCATCCCCCTCCTCACCTCCCTCCTTCTCATCACCCATCCGCGTCCCCTTCCCCACGCGCGCAGGAGGGAATGAGGACCCTCCTTCCTCCCTGTCTCTGCCCCCCCCCAGCCACACCGACGACGACGGCGACGGACGATGACGAGGGACGACGACGACCGCCGCCGAAGGCTCGGGAAGGGCAAGAGTGGCCGCCGAAGGCCGCCGACCGCCGCTGGGACGGCACGGCACGACAAGCCAGCGCTGGGGCGGCACGGCCCTCGGCGAGCGGCCAAAGGCCGCGGGAAGCCGCCGAAGGCCGCCGCACGCCGCCGAGGGCCGCCGGAGGCCGCCGACCGCCTCTGGGGCCCGCGCGGCGCCCCCACCGCCGGAACGGGCGAGCTGGCACGGGCGCGTGCCCGCGCGTCCGCGGCGTACCTCTGGGGGGCGCGGCCGCGCCTCGTGCTGCCGCGCAGGGCCAGCGCACACGGGCCCAGGGCCCGCGGTGCCCTGACGGTGCTGCAGCGCGCCCTCCCTCGACATCCCCGCGTCGTCAAACCAAAAACGCAGCGGACTTGGTTCGGCCTCTGGGGGCCCTCGCTGGGGAATGAATCGAGACCTCTGGGGGCCCCCGTCGTGACAGAAACGACAGCAATCATGACGTCGGGGTCTAGATCTCATGTCTGGCCCCACCCTGGGATAATCCTGCGGGCGTTCCCTGTCGCGGCCGGGGGCGCCCATTCGAGGGGCGAGCGGTCCCTGGGCCTCGGTCAAGCGGTGGCCCCGCTTCGACAAGGGCCCCCCTCTTCCACCCTAAGAGTTAGAAGGAGAGCAACTAAGGCGGAGTCGCAGCTTTCAAGGAGGCGCGTAGCGACACCCAACTTTTGGAAAGGAGCGGCTCTCCATCCAAGCGGCTGTTACTCAAGTTTCACCTTCTGGTCATACACCCTGAAAAAATCTCAAACGAACCGCCATCCGTCTGTCTGACTTTTGCACGCTTACGCACGTCTGGTCGGACGTTAAGAGAGCACCATTTTGCCACGGGGTCGCCCTCCGTCTGTGTCACTGCTGCTAGCTTTAAAACAATTGCGCCAATATTGAAAACGGGCTTTCCCTCCATCCGTGCATCCGTCGCACATTTGACAAACGATGCGTACGACGTTGAGCACCGACCATCGCTCGGACATCCTTTCCCCGTGCACTTTTCGGTGTCGTGCGTGTTTTGATTTCCCCCAATTGATCCAAGATGCTCCTAGATGGCCCAAATTTTCTGGCGCTGGCCTCGGCGCGAAAAATGCACACGTCCGAGCGATGCCTGAAATGAAAGCCATGTCCTATACCCCACCAGACCCGTGGGCGTGGTGGCTTAACGAGTTTACCCTTCCAGCCCATTTTTCCTTTCGGGGACAAATATATCGCTGCTCCTTGCGAGTGAACACCCCCTTCCCCCCAAGACCCGCCCCGAACCAGGATCGACACCGACCCCCCCGGCTCTGCCTGCCAAAAGGCGAAACAACCTTAACTGTGCGACAAACTCTGGATCATGTTCGGGCGCCCCGCACGTGTTTTTTCTTTTCAAAAAAGAGGCCAGGACACTAATTTCGGGGGCCCGTTGAGGCCGACTGGGCCTAACTACAGCCAGGTGATGACATTTGGTAGTGAGATCTTAACGAGCATGTCATACCAACGACCAACCACGGCGACGGCCGACTAACAACGACGACGACGTCTGGGGGTTTGAGTCGGGGTCCGTCTGGGGCGCTGGGGAGTGTTCAGTCGGGGGCGCATTCTGCTACATTCGGGGGCATATTCGGGGTTCACTCGCATTCACTCGGGTTCATTCGGCTCCAGCGGGTGGTCTCAAAACCATAAGTTGTTGCAAGATTCGGAGCCAAAGGTGGTACATTCGCCTGCAACCGCCCCTCCCTTATCACTGGTCATTCATTGTCCCTGGGTGCGTGGCTGAAGTGGGGATCCATGGTGAAGATTCTGCATGTTGCCTTGTTGTTGCTGTTGTTGTTGTTGGTGTTGTTGTTATCTGTTGTCGTCGTCCCACCCGCGACCCACCCCGCGACCCACCCCGATACCCACCCGCGACACCACCCCGCGACCCATCCGCGACCCACCCCGCGACCCACCCGCGACCCACCCGCGACCCACTCTCGACCCACCCCGCGACCCACTCCCGACCCACCCCGCGACCCATCCGCGACCCACCCGCGACCCACCGTGACCCACTTGCGACCCACCCGCGACCCACCCCGCGACCCACCCGCGACCCACCCGCGACCCACCCGCGACCCATTTGCGACCCACCCGCGACCTACCCGCATTGGTTTTTAACGAAAAGATCGGCGCCTGCGGCGGGGTCGTTGCATGATCTGTAAGACTTTGGCGCCTGCGGCGGGCTTCTCCAGAGCCGGGCAAACTGCTGACGTCCCCACCGGCCCCTCACTCTTATCCGCATCTGCGGGGTGCTACATGCACTACTAGAAACGGAGCTCCCGCCTCGGGGCGGAAGGGAAATGGGGGGCCGCGCCCTCGAAGCGCTCCCCTTTTAGAACTTGACATCGGCCGGTCGCGGTCGGCCTTCGTAGATTGTGACTTCTAAAATGTTGCGACGACGTCCGTCGTTGTCGTCGGTCGTCGTCGTCGGTCGGTCGGTCCGTCCGTCCGTCGTTGCCTTCGTCGTCGTCGTCGTTCGTCGCTGTTGGTCGGTCGGTATGCCGTCGTTGCCGTCGGTCGTCGCCGTCGGTCGTCGTCGTCGTTCGGTCGTCGATGGTCGATCGGTCGGTCGGTCGGTAGTCGTTGCCGCCGTCGTTGTCTGTTAGTCATCGCCGTCGGTCGATGTCGTGGTCGTCGTCGTCGATCGCTCGGTCGGTCGTCGTCGTCGCAGTCGTTCGTGGTCGTCGTCGTCGTCGTCGTCGTCGGTCGCTCGGTCGCTCGGCCACTGGTTCGCTCGATCATTCGCTCGGTCGGTTGGTCGGTCGTCGTCGCCGTCGTTGTCATTCGTCAGTCATCGCCGTCGGTCGTTGTCCGGTCGCTCGGTCGGTCTGTCGCCCAGTCGGTCGGTCGGTCATTTAACGGCTGTCGCATGAGTGACAGCTAGGGCGAGCCACGCCTCCACCAGGTCGTTCGGCGGACACACCTCGTCGAAATTCTCACTCGCAAATTAATCACCTGACTGTTCTCTGAGGGCCTGTGGAGGCCAGCAAGGACCACCTAGGGGGGCTGTCCCCTGAGATCCTATGATACTCGAACATTGCAACATCCGAGAAATTCGCGACCAAAGCCCTAGATCCCACCTGTCTGCGCCAGTTTTCGAGCCGGATCGATGTGTGAGGTTCATGGGCCCGAAACCGGGCGAAAACGCCCTGCTCGAACAAAAATGAGACGCCAAAATCTCAGGCCGTGTGCCGATTTGTCTCCGATTCTTCATGCCGGATTGGTGGTTCTGGTGCGTGGGTTCGCGGGGAGAGCCGCAAGAGTACTTGCAATAATGGGTCCCTGGATGCAGCGATTTGCGCGCAGGATGCGCGTGGATGCAATGATGTATCCTGTTTCGCACGCAGTAGCTGTCGTCCGTGTTCTGTTTTGCGCCCCCTCGCAAAAGTTGCGTACTATTGCACGCGCTAGCACACGATGAACGAGCGGTTACACCTCCCACCTCCCCAACCTGCGCCAGACCCACTACTCCAGCTCCGGGACCCTGACATCCCCCGGTCTGGCTTGGACCCCTGCCACGGGGATTAGCTTTGCGCACGAGATCCGTTTTTGATGGTCCTGGGGCTCGATCACCGGCCCCGGATGCCGAAATCGAGGACATGCGCCCAGATCGACAAGACAACACCGTCGGAGATCTGGGCCTGGGCGCAGACCGAAGACTGCCCTGCCAGGCCCTGCAGGCTGGCTCTTTTCCGAAGCGCCGGGCGTCCAGGGAGCCCTGCCCCGCCCGCCCGCCCCCGCGCGCCGCCGAGGGGTGGCGGCATCCGAAGCCTCCTCGGCGACACGTGGGAGTGACCCGAGGCAGGAGTGGCCTTCTGGTGCGCGGCTTTCTGGGGGCCGCGGGGGGACCAAACACAAGCGCGCAGGGCGCCACTATCGCATCGCGTTCAGCGATGGGGGGGACCCCACTGGGCCCGCACCAAAGGTCACTCTGGCGAAAGGCCACTCTTACGTCTATTCGACCTCTTCCCGCCGCCAATTGGCTCTCCTGGGGGGATGGAAGGCGGGGATAGGGTTCGGATTTCGCAATGTGCTCAACGAATTCCGAACTCTGCCCCCGCCGCACATCGAGCCACCTGAATCGTTGATCGGCAAGGGAGGAGTTCGGATTTCGTCCCCGAGCCGGAGCGCCGCCGCGGCGGGCGGACACACAAAGCCGGGGGTCGCCTCAGCACGTCTCCCGGAGTGTCAGGGCAACCGGTCGAAGGGGCAGCGCTAGCGCGCCGCGGAGGGGGAGAGGGTGGCCCCGCCCACTGGGATGACCGCGGGGGTTGCCCAAGGGATAGGAAGGGGTATAAGCTTTTTATTGTGCTCCTCCTCGTCCTCCTCCTCCCCCCTGGCGCTGATACATTCTTGGGGTTAGTTCGTATCGCTCCACGCTCCAGTCCTGAAGCCCTCGGTGGACAGAGTGACGAGTGGATCGGCAAGATCATCGTCGCGCCTTCACAATTTGCCCCCTCTCCCTCTCTCCAAAAGATGCGCTTTCTGGAAGAAGAAACAGACGGATATGGGGAGAGGGTACTAGCGGATGACAATGTGGCCATAGCTGGCCCAACCTTGCATATACGTGGGCTACGAACGCCCTAACTGGCTCAGAGGGGGTATTGATCAAGGCGCCCCCTCAGCGGAGTTATCTGACCCCCTGAACCACTTGGAGCATCTGCACCCCACTCTTACGTTAGGTTCCACCAGACCGCATCACCTTAGCATCCGCGTATAGCCCGCCTATCCATTTAGCCCCTCTCGCGGCCATCCCAGCAGACATCCTAAAACGACAAATTGTTGGTAATTGTCTGCCTCCGGGGGCCCTCACTTGGCCCCGAGGCCGTCAAAAAACAACTCGGGATGAACCCGTCCCGGGAAGAGGCCCAAACCACTGGGGAGCCACGTTGTGAACGAACCGCCACGTCGGACGTCTGGGTGATGGGAACAGGTCCTGCTGGGGCTTTCGGACGTCTTCGTCGGCCCCTGGAGGTTCTCCTGCCTCGGGCTGCGGCGCCCCAGCAACTGCGCCGAGCCGAGGAGAGCGTTCCCGGGGGGGAACGGCCGACGAAGACCCGAGCTATGGCCCGGAGGCCCACCAGGGAGGGGAACGGGCTCTCCCTGGCCCCCAAGGACCGTCAACTGGCAGGGGTCCATCACCTGTCTTCCTCGAGACCCCTTTTCTTCATGGCTGTCTGGCTCGCCAGCTGGAGAGCGCGGGTCACCACTCGGGCCTCTGCCCGTCGTCCGGGGCGAATCGGACACCCCCGGGACGAGCTCGGCGAGGCGCAGTTGCTGGAGCGCATCCCGACCCCGAGAGCCGACGGCGCGCATAAATATGCAACACCGCACACCATCGCGACGGGAGGGCCCCAGGCCCCATCTGCCTGCGGCATTCTTCGAGCCGCATCGCTCCTCGAGGGCCCCGGGGCCTGAAACAGGGCAAGATCGCCCGGCGTGGCAGAAGTGCGACGCGAGGGCTTTTCAAGGGGGGCAGGGAGAGACCTCCGAGAGCCGACGGAGATCCCCGAGGGCCCCATCAGGACCCGCTCCCCTCACCCTCGACCTGAGCCCTCCGCACCTTCCGCGCGACGGGTGCCGCCGCGCTGCTGCTGCGGCGGCCGCGGTGGCGGCTGCGGCAGCGCGGCACCTGCCGCGCAGGAGGTACGGAGGGTGCAGGTCGAGGGCAGGCCCTCAGGGGGCGACGATGGGGGCGAATAGCCCAGGGGCGAGCAATACGTGTGCCCAGGGGGGCGTCGATGGTCCATGCCTTCGGCGAGGCTCCCGGGCGAATGCGTGTATAATGTATAATGCCCGCCCCCTGTGCTATTCGCCCCCATCGCCGCCTCCGAAGGACCTCCCTTCGGGGATCTTCTGACCCGGGTCGATCCAGACCCGGGTCACAAGGGAACCAAAAAACGTACATGCAGGACAAACAAAAACCGCAACACAGGTCTTCGCAAACCCAGGTCAACCAATGTGTGCGGCCGCCTCGCGGCCACGAGCGGCTCACTAACCCGGGTCAGCCCGAGGGGGTCTCCGCAGGATCCCGCAGGCCCTGGCTGACCCCCGCTTGCCTTGACCCCCGTCTCTTGAGCCCTGCTCCCTCCCCCTCCGTTGGCGGCGCCGGCGCGCCAACCGCAGAGCGCGGGCGGCTGCGCTCGGCACCCGCGGGCCGCCTCTGCACGCCGGCCTCATCGGGCGCCCGAGTCATTCGACATCCCAGACCCCCTCGGGCCGTGGACACAAATCAGGACGGGAGTAAGGAGGAGGAGGAGGCGGAGGAGGAGGCGGAGGAGGCGAAGGAGGAGAAGGAGGAGGAGGAGGAGGAGGAGCAGGAAAAAAAACGAGTTCAGTCCCCGCCGAGAGAGCCAGGGGGGGGAGGGCAAAACTAAGGACCCTTAGAGGTTAGAGGCCTCCCACATGGGGTTGGAGCAGATGGGGTCGGAGAATCGCGCGGCATCGCCAATGCATCGCCTATGCATCGGCGACGCTGGCTTAGAGGACATCCACATCGAGCCGAATCGCCGATGCATCGGGGGTACGGCGCGATCCTTCGACACCCTCCACTCGGACCCCACCTGAGAGACCTGAAGGAAAGCTTTTGACAATTTTCGCAGGGCCCGGGGCCCGTCAACAGAACGACTGGGGAGAGAACACCGATCGGAACGGGTCGAGACCTCCAGGGGACTCCACACCATGAGCCACCGTGACGTCGGGGATCTGGGATGCGAGCCGCGCCCCGCCCGGCCGCAGGGCGGCCTCTCACGGCTTGAGGAATGCCAGCGTGCCGTCGGAGGAGAACGCGGCCAGCACGTTCCTGCGGCGGCGCGCGCGGGGGGCGGCGGCATGCTCATGCAGAAGGCGCCCTGCCTCTCAGACGCCCTCCTGCCTCCCAGAAGGGCTTTCACGGAGGCCTCTGAAGAGAGGCCAGTCCCTGCTGGGAAGCCCCCTGCCTTCTCAGAAAGCCGCCCCCCCCTCGCTCCCTCCCCCTTGCGAGCGCCGCCAGGGTCCGCGAAGGGTGGTGCGCGAGCCCGATCACCTCTTTGTCTGATATCTTCATCGTCTGCTCCAGATTGCCCGACTCCAGGGAGAAGCAGTAGAGGCGATTGTCCTCGGCACAAGCGTACAGCCATTCGCCCTTTGGAGACACGGTCATTGCGACGAAGTCGCCCTTCTCGCGCCTCCCGGAGGAGAAACTCTTGAGCACCTGCCCCGACAAGTTCATCAACAGCAATGTGTTCGACCGCGTGCACACAAAGACAAGCCCATCCTCCTGGTCGCCGTACGTGGCTGGCAGCTTCGGGGCCACGATCGCGGCGTTCACGGCAATCTGCATGGTCGAGCTGTTGATGTGCGGTGGCGGCGGCGGCTGGAGCGTGCTGATGACCTCGGTAGTCTTCGCATCGAAGACTATCACGTTGCCGTCGGAGGACGCCGTGATCACCTTGTGGTTATCCCGGCTCCAGACGGCGGAATTCACATAGGACGTGTGCCCACGGAACTCCTTCAGCGTCTTGCCAGACTTAAGGCCGTGCGCCCGGGCCGTGTTGTCGTAGGAGGCAGTGAGGACCTGGGACGAGTCCTTGGACCACGAGATCCAAGTAACGCCTTCGCCGTGCGCGCGCTGGAATCGCTTGGCGCACTGCCCGCTGGCCACTCGCCAGATCTTCACTTCACCGTCCTGGCTGCCCGTCGCGAGCAGCTCCGAATCCTTGGCAAAAGCGCACGCGATGATGGCTTTCTCGTGCATCATGAAATTGCCTTCCTCCTGATACTGCAGATCCTTGCGCAACATGGCCGTCTGGTAATCCCAGACCTCCACGAATCCGTCCACCGAGCCGGAGACGCAGAACTGCCCGTCGGGCGAGAACACCGCACACTCCGGGTGCGACTTGTCGCCGAAGCGTATGACCTTCCCAATCTGCGTGGGGCACGCCTCTTTCTCCTCCACCTTCAGAGAGAGGAAACGCGGCATTCATATGAACGTTCGGAGATGCGCGCGGATTCTTGGATCGGCGCAGGACTCCTCAGGGGCTGGGCCAGAGGCGCCGTCAAGGGCGTCCAGCGCAGATTCAAGAAACCCGAACGGAGCGCCAACAGTCTATGTGATTTGTTGCTCCAACCTTCGTGGCGGCCACGCCGCGAAAGACGTCGATCTTCTCGTTGTTGGGCAAGATTCCAGCTTGTTGCTGCCACTTCATGGCCTGACCGACCAGCGCCAGCAGCCGGGAGGGCGGCGCAACGGTGACGTGGCCGCTCACCGCCTTCTTCGAGAGAGGGTGAAGCGCGCGCGCGAAGGAGGAGGGTGAGGCTTCAGACAGGGAGGCAACCACTACAGTCGAGCTAGGACCATACGGTCGGACCTGGGGCATAATACCATCCTTCAGGAGCATGAGACCCTCAGCTGGCCAAGCTGAGGAACATTCGAGGGTGCCCTCCCCCAGGATGCACAATAACCTCCAACAAACACGAAGAAGATCAAGGTACCCTCCCCGAACGGACCTCGATCGTGTACAACGGTCCGACCGCAATGAATTCAATATGACGAGCGAAGAGGTTTCTTTGTTCCAAAAATGACCCCTGGGTGCACAAGGAGCCCTGGAGGAACAACCATGGGAGGACCTGGGAAACATTGAGCCCCTTCCGAATCATAGCGGTTACATATTTCAGCGTCTTGGCTGTATAGCAGGCGCTGTTTAGGGACTGGCCACTGACCGCCTGAGCGATCTCGCTTCGGCGCTTCTCTTTGGGGACGCCCTCGTAGTTCCGGGTGGCGTCGAATGTGCTCTGCCTCAGGAGCGCGTCCAAGCGCATGTACCTCTCAGGAGTGTCCTGCTTCATGCTGATCATCGGCGCTGTCTCCTTCATCAGGTGCATCGCCGTCTCCACGTCCTTCATCTCTGCCAGCTCCAATACTATCTGCTGGTAGAGATCCTGCAGCACACTGTCTGGCAAACTGAGATACGACACTACCTGCAAGACCACGTCCCAGCGGCCGTGCACGATGTCGGTCACCAACGCATCCAGGGAGTCCACCGTGTTCAGCGTGACGCGGGTCTCTTCCTGCATCGTCTGCAGCGTCCTGTGCAGGCCGTTCTCCTTGCAGAACTGGAGCATCAATCGTATAACGTCCGCGCTCTCTACGGTGGCCGTGCTCCCCGTCGCCATGGCCGCCTGTGGTCACAAGCCGCCGCCGTCTGTCCCGCCCAAGCCCGCCAGGCAGCACGCCCAGCCACCGCTGCTGCCGCCCGCGTGGGCGCCCTGGCGGAGGCCGCGTCCCGCCGGTGACGGTGCGCCTGCCAGGCCGGCGGGCTCCCCTGCGCTCGACCCGGAACGGCTCCCCCTTGCGAGCCGGCGTGGCCACGGAGCGGTCGAGGCACGCGCGGGGGAGGGACGGCCCAGCGGGCAACGAAAAACTCGGCGCGGCCTCTCCTCTGCCTCCACCTTCACATGTTTTCCAATTTCTCCTCTTCGTCCGTCGTCGTCCTCCTCCTCCTCTCGTTCCCGTTTGCCTCCCCTAGTCCTTCCCCGCCTCCGCGAGGTCCCGTTTCTGCACCTCTCCCTCCTCTTCTCTTCCCCTCTCACCTTCCTTTCCCTGTGCCTCTCCTTATCCTTCTCCTCCTCCGCTTTCTGTTGCTTCGGTTTGTTTCAGCTCATTTCATTCCTTCGTCGAAAAAACAAAACCCGATAAGGGCCAGGGTCAATGTTGAACACTCGTTTGCATGTTTCCCCTGCCATGAAGATCCAAGCCCAATTGGCTTCTGCTTCCGACATCCAATCATCGTCGCGCACCACCAAGCGCGTCGGTAAGGCGATCCCAAGCGGTTCGCCAGAGGCACCCTCACAATACATGTTCCTGTAACTGCACATGTCCAAGTGGTACGCGGATAGAATACACATCATGATCAACACCTTGCTGTCTTTTCAAATTTGATCTTCACCTGGGGTTTGTGTGTTCAACACTTACACTGATCGAGCGCGGTGCATCTCAACGCGCCGCGCACCGTGAGCTGTCGAGACGCTGGCGCATTACATGTTCACCAGCTGCGCGGTGGAAATGCCATCCCGCAGCAACACGGAGCTATTGCGTGCTTACATATGATGACGCCGAAGCTGGATTTCCCAACAGCTAAGCACTTTTTTTCCGTCGCAACGCGGCAGAGGCGATCCACTCGCGCGCTGTAGTAGGCGGGCACGCGCGGCGCACCAATTAACTGGCGCACGGATTGCCCCCCCTTTTTCAAACACCTGGCTCTCGTCCGTGGGCCCCGTCGGATCTCAGGCCGCCCCACCCCACGACAGTGAAAGAGAAAAAGAGAGAAAGAGAGAGATACCTCCAGACTCTCCCCGCGTCCCTTTCCTCGGCGTCGGCCGCTGGAGAGGAGAAGCAGGATACAGGGGCGGAGGGGGAGGAGGAAACGGAGAGGAGAGGGAGGTGGAGCGGGAGGAGGAGGAGCGGAAGGAGGAGGAGGATGAGTATATATATATAGAGAGAGAGAGAGAGAGAGCAAGAGACAAAGAGAGGAGAAATTAGGAGGGATGAAGCAAGAGGGAGGGTGGATTGTTATGATGAAGGGTGCTTGCTCTCGAAACCGCGCTTGACAAAGAACACCTCCACCTCCGTCTCCGTGGCGTCCCTGGGCAGGCCTCGGGGCTATTCTGGGTGCCCGGAGCAAGTGGGGCTGAGGGAGGAGAGAGAGTTGGGAAGGAGGAGGCGGAGGAGGAGGAGCAGGATGAGAAGGCGGAAGAGGAGGAGAAGGCGGAAGAGGAGCAGCAGGCAAGGCAAGGCAAGGCAAGGAACGGCAAAGCGAGGCAAGACAAGACAAGACAAGACCTGGGCAACTGCAGCCCCCTCATCTGGCTCAGCTGTCTGACTGGTGAGGCTAGTGAGCATGGCAAATGTTGCTGGTAGCTTCAACGCGCGTGTCGGGCAAGGCTGCGGGACCAAGAGTCCAAGACTGATTTCTGGCCCGCATCAGCACGAAGGCGCATTGTACTGATTACTGCTCCAAGTTGGGAGGCGTAGAGCACTTGGGCCCGGAACCTAGAACCTCGGGGCATGTAGTGCGGGAGGGCGCCCTGTGGCAAACTCAGGGGCAACATCTGATCTGTGGGGGGGCGTGGGAGGAGGAGATCTGCATTATTCCTCTCTGCCGGAAGGGGCTCCACGACGGAGAGGATTGGTAGCAAGGCCTAGAGTAGGGAGCAGGAGTAAAGGCAAGCACGGGGGGTGGAGTGAGAAGGGGGAGGGGGATCCGGAGGAGGTAGAGGAGAAACAACACGAGCGGGGGAGGAAGGAAAAGAGGTATCGGGATCGGTATCGGTAAGAGTCGACAACCAGCCGGTTGCAGTTAGTAATTCGCCTGCGGGCACGCGCCCCTGACCCAGGCAAGGGAGGAAACCCTGTTGTGCCGACGGACCTAGGTCGAACGGCGGCAGCTGCCACGAGTAGGCGATGCACGCTTCAATACAGAGGGTAAAGAAACCTGCGGACAATGCAAACGGGGTTGGAGGCATGGGAGACTCGAAGGCTTGTATGGGCGTTCGCCAACCCAACCGGAAGCAGAGGGAGGGGGAAGGAGGAGGGGGCGGGGGAGGCAGAAGGAGGCAAAGCTACTGCAGTCAGACACCATGGGCCTGAATCCAACAGAGTGAAGACCCGCGGCCAGCTCGTATGCTGCCACTGAATGAGCAGCAGCTGGGCACAATATCCTGCAACACAGAGATGAACATTCGACACCAAGCCACACGAGATGGGAACGTGCACCAGATCGGAGCAACGCCAGAGCGAAGAACGACTACGAGCAATTATGGGCTGTCAAGGCCATGAGCCTGAGCGGCACGTGACCAGAATCTCAAGGGGGCAAGGAGGATACCCAGCAGGGGGAGCAGGCAGGCTGGAAGCCCCTAACTGGAAGACAGGTGTGGGCAGGCTTCAGGGGCAGACATCACAGACAGACATCGAGCAGAAGATGCGTACAGCCAAAAAGGTGACGAGAGCCAGAGAGCCAATTACCGTCAGACTCGAATGCCCACGGTCTGATTGGAAGCACAGTCCTGACAGCATAGACTAGGCTGGTCACGAAGTGAAAGCAGGACACAGTGCGAGTGCAGAGGGGGGGAGGCCGAAGGGGGCGACCGCCTGGAATTCTACAAGCGAGGGGCCGATTGCTGGTGGCACTGCACCTCGTGCTGGAAGGCGAACCAGGACTTCGCGGGACAGCCCATAGCAGAAGGAAAGAATATATCCGCCTTCCTTCGCGACCTAGAACAGCAGCAGCCCACCTCCACTAGTGACAAAGCTGAAACCACTGCCCGCAGCACCCCAGACCGCTCTCCCAGATGCCCAGACGCCACTCTGGCGGCTCTGGCTGGCCCAAGAATGCATATACGACCCATCCACTGTGCACACGACGGTGCCCACCCAGCGCACTGATGACGACAGGTTTGGGGGGAAAGCCACGACGGACGGCTGGAAGAGCAAATGCGACCGCTGCCCCAGCACCGCCTCGACCCACGAGTGGCCGTGCGGGCAGAGGTCGCGGGGCATGTTTATCTTCCGCCCAGGCGCACCCGACTCCGAGTCCCCCAGCCACGGCCTCCCGCCTTTCGGCGACCCTTCTCAAACATGTAGTGAAACGCAACCTGGCAGACACCCCGTACAAGCGACTGCGCCCCTCCCCGCCCCCGCTACCAGCAACAGACCCGCTCCTGGCCCAGGCCGGCACGAGCACCAGACGCAGCGACCACACTCCAGGCCCAGCAGGCGAGGGCGAACGGGCCCAGGAGCTCGTCGACCCCCTCGGCGTCTTCCGGCAGGCCCCCGCCCACGAGCCAGGCCAAGCCAGCGGAGGCCAGCTACCGAGGAAGGGCGAGGCGACCCGCAGCCCGCCCCACCCGGCGGGACAAGCCCAGGACCGCGCCAGGCCCCGCAGGACCGTCGCAGCCGGCAGCACTGGGGAGGCCCGCGCACGTGCAACCAGCTACCCGCCTCGACCACGGACCAGATCCCGCGGCGGCAAGGACCACCGACCCAAGGACAGCGGGAGGACGTCCCCACGCGGGAGCGATCAAAGCCTACCACCGTACTCCCAGGGAGAACAAAGGCGCCGCCCCAACAGCCACCCTCGCAGACGCACTCGCATCGGCCCACGTTCCGACAGCAGGTCCCCTACCGCCCCCCCTGTTGGCACCAGCAGAAAAGAACGCCGCAGCAGAGACAGCGACTGCGGCTCTGGCACCTCGAGCGGCACACCGCCCCCACACTGCGGGCGGCAGCGGCCCAGTGGGCAAGACGTCGAAGCTCGAGCGACAGAACCAGCCCAGAGCGAGCCCAGTGGAGAGGCAAGCCCCCCGCCCCAGCCCAACGGCGGGGACTCTAACCTACCCGAGGCCTCCGCCTCGACCCTTACCACTCCCCTCGCGACGATTGACACCCTCTCCGACCTCCCCGACCTCGCGCCACCCCCATGCCCTGGCCTTGCGAATTAGAACGTGGCCACCCTGGAGGCCGAAACGCCGATCAACCGAGCCCCCAAGACCGGGAAGGCAAACTGCACCATTGCGCGCGCTATGGTCCAGTACGCTCGTGCCCTGCACGACAGCGTCGAAGAAGCCTGGCGTAAGTGGACCGACGTGCTACGGCAATAGCAATCCCCCCCAGCAACCAAGCTACCCCGCGGGACCCACGGGCCTGGACGAAGGAGGACTGCAAAGGCATTCTCGCCCGCATATACGGCCCTGCAATCCCCATCAACGGGCTCCCCGAAGGAAGACCTTGGGACGGGAGACGAGCCTCCCTGGCGCACCTAATTGCCTACCTGACCAGACAGAAAAGGCGACTGCTAACAAACAGGCACGACCACCTGGCTGACCAGTGGACCGACGTCCGTGAGGCCAGCCACCAGCTGTCACATGAACCAGGCCAAGACCCCAACAGGTACAGCCGACAAGTCCTCACCAACTTCCTTGTCTCGCAAAGAATCTGGGACCTGCAGTCACCTCTGCTGGAACAATATGGGCGCGGCGGCTAACCCCAGAACCGAACCCTACCACAACAACATCAGAGCAGGCCCTCCTGCGGACGGACGCAGCGCTGGAACGCCCGACGACACCCAACCCAGCACAAACCCAGGAGAGGCCAGCAGCTCTGCTGCAGGCCCCGTTGCCTCGGCCTCTAGCCCACACCGCGCTAAGCACGCTGCAGCCGCCCCCTGCCCTCACGGGGTCCCAAAGCCCCCCACGCCGCCCCCCACGCGCGGAAGGCTCCAACGTGGACTTCGGCACCCCTGAGCCCGACCCGCAGGCCAGCCCCAGCGTCAAGCCCCACACCGATCAGCGCATCCTG